AGCTCAGAGTTCAAGCCCTATGACCGACAAAAAACAAAAACACAAACAAAAAACAGAAAAAACAAAACAAAGACAAAACTTCTTGTTTCCACTTCCTGGAGTTCATTTTGATATTGTTTTATCTGATCAGAGACGTGTGGTTCTTTTTTTTTGAATCTGGTCTTGGGCCTGAATTCTTGGCCTGGGCACTGTCCCTCAGCTCTTCAGCTCAAGGCTAGCGCTCTACCACTTGAGCCACAGAGCCACTTCTGGCTTTTTCTGCTTATGTGGTACTGAGGAATCGAACCCGGGGCCTCATGCGTGCAAGGCAAGCACTACCACTGAGCCGCCTTCCCAGCCCCTTACTATTTTTTTTAATGAAGCCAATTGGGACATGTCTGGTGCACGAATGTGTCCTGAGAAGCCCCTGCCTTCTGGTATGGTTCGCCTGGAGTGCCCCCAAACTTTGGTCATCTCAGAACCTGAGAATATGACCTTATGTGGGAAGCTCTGGAAAATTCGAGGTGTTTGGGTGAAATGAGGATAGGGGCAAATGGGTTGAGGTATAAATACAGTGATGGTGTTGAGTTAAGCTGGGGGAAGGGAGGCATGGGGAAGACACGCAGAGATGCAGGCAGAGCCTTACCTTGCCATAGTGGGAATGCCTGGCTATTCCACCCACAGCTGGCACTGGCAAGGAATGGTCCTCCTCTGCGAACGTCCAGGGATGACTCTACTTGCTTCTTGATTTCAGATTTTTAGCTTCCAGAACTGTGGCAGTTTGACATTTCCATTGTGTTAAGCCATCTAGTTTAAGTTTTATTCCCAAGGTTAATTGGTTATGGTAGCCTTAAGAAGCCAACATATCTTCCAGAGTCCTATTTTTTTCCTGCTCCCTAGAAATTTGTTTTTCCTCTCCATTTAGTCCTGTGATCCCACACAGTAGTCTCATTTTGTGTATAGTATTGGGTAAGGGCCAAGATTCATGGCTCCTCCTTATGAATAATCACCTCTTGGCCATCGACAGAAAGGACTCTCCCTTTCTCCTACTTTTGTTGAAAGTCAATTGACTATAAATGCATAGGTCAATTTCTTCTGAAGTCTTTTCTGTTCCATCAATTTATAAGGTAATTCTTCCCCTAATCTCACACTATCTTGTGTATCTTGATAGCAAATCTTATGGGTTTATAAATCCTCCAAATTTATTCTTTTTTTTTTTTTTTTTTTTTTTTTAAATTTTATTTTATTTATTTATTGTTGGTCATGGGGCCTGAACTCTGGGCCTGGGCACTGTCCCTCAGCTCTTCAGTGCTACTTCTGTTTTTTTCTGCTTATGTGGTGCTGAGGAATCGAACCCAGGGCCTCAGGCATGCAAGGCAAGCGCTCTACCACTGAGCCACCTTCCCAGCCCCCCAAATTTATTCTTAAGAAACATTTTCAAGCCAGATGCTAGTGGCTCACATCTGAAATCCTAGCTACTCAGGAGGGTGAGATCTGAGGATCATGGTTTAAAGCCAGCCAGATCAGGAAACTCTTAAAGATTGTATCTCCAATTAAACATCAGAAGAGCAGAATTGGAAGCCTGGTGCTAGAGGCAAATTCTAGTCGTGAGCAAGCAAGGGAGAGCTTATGGTCCTTCCCCTGAGTTCAAGACCTGGGTATCAAACAGAAAAAAGTTTTCACTCAACTAGGACCTTTATTTTTTCCATGTAAGTTGTAAACTAGCTTGCTGATTCCACAACATAAGCACACTGAGTCTTCCAGACCAAGGTTTATCCATTCATTAATTTCATTCTGCAATATTTATAAACATACATAATGCTTATTCCTAAGTGTCTCATTTTGATACTGTATTTTCCAATTATTTCTAGTATTGCATAGAAATATGGTTTTTAATCTGCAACACTGCAAAACTCACATTATATTTCCTTTTATTATATATTCCTTAGATTCTCCACCCACGAATAGACAGCTTCACTGCTTCTCCACCAGCCAGACTGCTCAGCCCTCCCTGTTGCACAGGTGTGAACCTCCAACACTGTGCTAAGTAGGGAGTAACGGCAGGCACTGCTACTGCCCTGGGGGTAGGGGACAGCCTCTCATCCAGTGCTAGGTGTTTCTTAGATGCTTTTCTGGTTGGGAAAGTTCCCTTCTAATGCTTATTAATGAGCTTTTATCTTGCTGCATTTTGTTCAGTGCTTCTGCATTTATTCAGTCCACTATATATTTTTTCTCCTTTTTTGTTAAAATGGTCAATTACATGAATGTTAAGCTAAGCATGCATTGATTGTGATGTATTACTCTTCTTATATGTTGATATTGAACTTGCTAACATTTTCTTAGGGATGTTGGTTGATAGACTGAGGTTTCTTTGGATAGGTTTCCCTCTGTAGCCCAGGCCAGTCTAGAACTTTTGATCCTCCTGCCTCTGTCTCCCAAGTGATGCCCCGTCAGGATGCTGATTTCTAACCAAATGACTTTGGTTTTAGTATGAGGGTAATTCTAATTTTATGTGTGTTGGGAGGCATTTCCCTCCTCCGTTCTCTTTAAGCTTGATTATGACTTCAAATCAGTGAAGACGTGAGCATGGACAATGCGGTGTTGGAGGGCGTTGGCAGAGAGTGAGCGCACCTGTGAGCCCTGGTCATCCAGACCAGACATGAAGCATGGTGGAAGTGACAGGAAAGCCTTTTAAGAAAGGAATATGTTGACAGCATCTAAGACCCCAGACCCAAACGCCAGGAGTTCCACATGTCGGGTTCAGCCCCTCACCCCTATATGCCAAAGAGACAGGGTGAAGGGCCAAGAAAGAATGCTTTATGTGGATTGGACATGCTACAGAAGAGATGCATTTTAGTTCTTTCTCTTGAGCATCTTCAGGGTACTGGGCACAGGTGGGGAGTATTCATGTTAAACAGTCCAGGTTGCAGGTGTAGTCTTTCCTGGTGTGTGCCCTATCCTTGCAGGGATTGTCCTCAGATGGGGGAGGGTCTGTGCTGCAAGGCTTTGCTGTCCCTTGGGGGGGTGGGGGGGGGGAAATCCCTTATTGATTCCAAGGTGGCCGAAGGGACTGTGGACAGAATAGCTTAGAATAAAAGACAAAGTACAAAATGGAGGCCGGGAAGGCAAGCTTTTCACCTGTTTTTAGTTAATTTACGGGTCCAAGACTATACCAAATATGCTTTTCAGCACCAAGTTTAAGTATCCTTAAATATATGCTACGTAACACTTTCAGCAGACTGTAGAGTGCAAACAGCATTCACATTTGGGGTTTGAGTTCATACGGAGATTGCCTGTGGGGGAAATTCCTGTCCGCAGCTTCAACTCCATGGGGCTGAGGTCACAGGGGACCCAGGACATTAGTTATGGTACAGGGCTTCTTCAGACCTCCACCGTCACCACATAGGTCTCTCTGCTGTCATTTTAGAGGCTGTGAAGAACGTTCCATTTTCGCTTTTCTTGCACATCCCATTGCTCATGTGGTCTCCATCCACTTCAGAAGAACCAGTTTTGCATTGCTTTTTCTCTTCTATTAATGTTCATCCTTGCTGGTCTTTTGGGGGGGATGGGGACGTGTTTTAATAAAGTCATTACCTTGAATATCCTTGAGGACAAGATTTTTAAGTCCACATTTTTTTAAGGAGTGAGCACTTTATTATTTATTCTTATGGTGCTGGGAATCAAACCCAGGGCCTTCATAGCTCTACCACTGAACTACATGCACACTTCCATCTCTGCTGTTATTTTCATTCGGCCTCCTTTGCACTCAATAGTTCTTGCTAGAAAAGTAACTCTTCCTCATACATTGAGAAACCTTTTTAATTGCTGCAGACACCTTTGTAATTTCTATGCTATCCTGTATCTTCAAGATGTACCACATATTTACAGATTCCTTTATTTTTGGTGGCTTGAACTCAGGGCCTGGGTGCTGTCCAAGCTCTTTTGCTCAAGGCTAGCACTCTCCCACTTCAGCCAACAGCTCCACTTCCGGCTTTTTTGGTGGTTAACTGGTGGTAAGTCTCATGGGCTTTACTGCCTGGGCTAGCTTTGAACCTCGATCCTGAAATCTCAGCCTCCTGAGTAGCTAGGATTACAGGCATGAGCTACTGGTTCCTCACTAGATACTACTATCAACCTACCTCCTGCTGTTGACACTTACAGGTGGAGTTTGTCATCTGTCTTAGTTCTGCTGCACTAAAGGTGGAAGCCAGGACTCGCATGCATGCTCAGCAGCATTCTACCTTGAGCTACATTTCTTCAATCTCCTTCCTTCCATCTTTTCCTCTCTATTTTCTCCTATCTGCTTTCAAAATACCTGAGCCTCAACTGTGGCTCCTTTTCCTCCCTTTATTTGGGTGGGGAGGCTGCTAGGTACTAAGCCTGCAGCCTTGTACATCCTTCACCTACTTACCACTTAAGGTTTGCAGGAATCCGAGCTCAGTCTCTCTCTCTCTCTCTCTTTCCTCTCTCTGCCATGCCTGAAAGCACAGCTACAAGCTCCGTCCCCATTGTTTTCAGCTGAACTGCCAGTTTGAAGTTTTTGAGCTTCAGAGAAAGCTGCCATCTGGACAGAAAGGTGTGAAGATGGCTAGGCTAAGGCACGGCCTGGGGATGTCACTGCCTGCAGATCGGGACAGGGAAGGGGGGCCATGGTGGTGGCCCTGAGCACTAAGATAACACTCATATTTCAGGCATGGGTCTTGGCTCCAGCAGTATGCTTTTTCTCTTTGACAAGTTAATATAGAAGTTACACACACACACACACACACACACACACACACACACACACACACACACACACACACACACACACACACGTGTATATATGTATAGCATGTAACATTTGGGCTGAAAGACCTCGAAGTTCTGCACCATCTGGGTCTCAAAAAATGATCAAAGTAGATCCATTCTTAGTGGATCTATACTTTCTACTGACGTTTCATTACTTGGGAGGAGTACTTGCTGTGTAATGTGCTCACATAAACAGCATCAAGATAACATCCGCTCTTCACTCTTTGCAGGAATGGAAGATGGAAGTGGCGTTTTATCCCACAGATTTCAGTAGGTCTTCTTGAAACTTAACTATGCCAGCCCTTTCCTCAGAGAACACTCCTCAGTACCAGCTACATGCACCAAATCGACCCCTAGATGTTGACTGTATGCTGTTCTTGATCATACTTGGGAAAATACTATTAAATATCCTCACGCTAGGAATGAGAAGAAAAACCACCAACCAAAATTTTATGGACTATTTTTGCATTTCACTAGCACTCATCGATCTTTTTCTTTTAGTAAACATTTCCATTATATCCTACTTCAGGGATTTTATAATTTTAGGCATTAGGTTTACTAGATACCACATCTGCTTGTTGACTCAGCTTGCTTCCCTCATTTATGGCTTTTTGCATTATCCAGTTTTCCTAATAGCATATATAGATTATTGCTTGAGTTTCTCTAAGATCGCCAAACTATCATCCAAGTGTCAAAGGTTATTTTATTTGTCTGTAGTAAGTTTAATTTGGATTTCAGTCCTGGCTTACATTCTGGGAGATCCAACTATCTACCAAAGCCTGGAGGCACATGGAGTCTCTTACCAGTGTCCGTCCTATGTCAGCTCTCAGAGTTACTGGCTCTCTGTGTCTATGATGATGGTTTTAGCTGGGGCATTTATAACCTCTTGGTCAGAAGTCCTGACCTTGATTCAGGCTGTGAGAATAACTTCCTATATGAACGAGACCATCCTGTATTTCCCCTTTTCCCCACACTGTAGCTACACTGGGAACGCTAAAAAGACCCTTGCATCCAAGCTCACTGTCTGCTTCCTTGGAACCTGGTTGCCATTTGTGCTACTTCAGGCGGTCATGCTCTTCCTCAGTGTGCAAATGCCCGCGTACATTGAGATGAACATCCCTTGGCTGTACTTTGTCAATAGTTTTCTCATTGCTATAGTTTGTTGGTTTAATTGTCATAAAGTTTATTTAAAAGATTCTGTATTTCCTGTGGATCCCTTTGTCAACTGGAAATGCTGCTTCATCCCACTTATGATTCATCATCTTGAACAAACTGAAAAGCCTATATCAGTAATAATTTGTTAGTGTTGCCATGTTAAAACTAATACAAATCCTAGTTTACAAACTGGAAAGAATGACTGCTCAGGCCAGAACCCAATGGAAGCTTATTCCCTAACTTTTCCATTTCTTCAGCACATGCCTTTGGGGCTTTATTATTTACTGAGTAGTCTTGAAATTTTTATGCTTCTTCAGGAACACTGCATAAATATTTGTTATTAATACAGAAAATAAACAAGTTAACATTTGGCTATACTGATGTTTGCTTTTCTCTCAAATGATGCAAAATGTCATATAAATTGCCAACTTTAAGACAAGAATTTAAATGTTTTATCAAATTTAGAACAAGAAAATCAAGACTTTTCCTAAAATGGTTTGATATAAATTTTAAGGGGAAGATTTTAAATTTAGATAATTAAAAAATTTTAAATTTAAATTTAGATAATTAAAAAAAATTTAATGTTTTTTGTTTTATTGGTGGTACTGGAGTTAGACCTTCAGGCCTCCTGTTTGGCAATGTGTGTGTGTGTGTGTGTACACACACACACACACACATAAAAACACATGCTTAAATGTGTATCATTAGTGCTTATCCTTACATGTTATATTCATTATTTATGTCTTTTTTAAAACATGCTAGTTTTGTGGCTAAAGTTCCTACTCCATACATGAGCTCTTTTTTTCATCGGTTATGGGGCTTGAACTCTGGGCCTGGGCACTATCCCTCAGCTCTTCAGCTCGAGGTGAACGCTCCACCTCTTGAGCCATAGCACCGTTTCTGAGTTTTCTGAGTTGTTTATTGGGATAAGAGTCTCACAGGCTTTCCTGCCTGAGCTGGCTTTGTACTGTGATCCTCAGATCTCAGCCTCCTGAGTAGCTAGGATTACAGACTTGAGCCACCAGTGCCTGGCTCTATCATTGTCCAAAAACAAGTGTGAGATCCGAAGATCAGAGTGGTGAAGCCAACCTGGGCAGGAAAGTCCATCAGATGCCTATCTCTAGCAAAAAGCCAGAAATAGAGGTGTGGATCAAGTGGGAGAGAACAAGCCTCAAGCAAAAGAAGCTTCAGAGACAGTCCAGGCAGCCCTGAACTCAAGCCCCATAACTGGCACAAAAAAAAAAAACACACACACAAAAAACGAGTCTGTAAGCCTTTATGGGAGCCCAAGAGGGTTTTAGCCGGGGGGGGGGGGGGGGGGGGGGGGCGGATGTTGCTGGAAATGGGAAATCTTCTGCTTTGTAAGGACAGGCAGAGCACATGCCTAGCCTGAAACTACATAAAAAGTGCTGGCACTCCAAAAGTTTCAGATTTGGGAGCATATTGAATTTTGAGCTTAGACATACACAATTGGTAAAATCTATACAAATAATCCTAAAAATTCCCAAACATTCTGAAATGATGGGCATGGTGGTACACTTCTGTAATCCCAGCAACATGGAAGGTGTATATCGAAGAAATGTGGTCCAAGGCTGGCCCCAAGCAAAAACTCAAAAGACTGCTTGAAAACAAAAAAGGACTGGGAGTGTATGGCTCAAGCAACAGAACACCTGGCTAGTAAGCAGTAGGCAGGCCCTGAGTTCAAACAATTAAAAACAAAATTGAGAATAGAAATCACAATCACATTGCTTCATTTTAAAATACAGAGATCCAACTGTACCTGGAGCTGAGGAGGAATAACACGTATAGTGAGAGCAGTCAGTCCTGCGTGGCCAAAGCAGGTTCTTTCACTGGGACTGCACCCTTGGAACACATGGCCTTCCAACTGGCCATAAGCGAGGAAGGGAATATTAAGTACACTAATTCAGTCTGTATATTTTAAATCAGTTCAAACCCCTTGTAAAGCTTTCTGTTGGTTTACTTACATCTCCCGTGTCTCATAAGCTTAAAGGAAAAAAAAAAACAATAACCAGCCAAAATAAAAGCCAGGCTTTTATTTGTAAAGAAATGAACTTACAACTGGTCTACAATATATTATTGTATATAAACAATATAAATAGATGATCCTGTAGGCCCACCGATCCATCCAGACCCACATGAAGCAATGCTCCAAAAATCTCTATGTGACAGTGTGCGGGTAGCGAAGGTGCAATTACAAGCAAGAGTAAGCAGCAGAGTATAAGGTGCTTTCAGGTTGTAGTGTTTTTTGCCGTCGGCAAACTTGGATGCCCAATTTTAGTTCACTGAACAGACACGACGTATAGGAAAAGCTATCAGTCATACACATGCTACTTGTCATGAAAGTGCTTTCTCTTTTATAAAAAAATACACCAAATGAACACTTTGTACATAGCTTGTGATGTGCTCTCATAATGCAAAATTAACTTTGTTTTCAGGTTATACACTCTGAAATGGCAGCTAGGACACCCGTCTAGGACGCTAATGCCGAGAGGGTAAAGGACCTCATTTTTAGCAGGACTCTGGACAGGACTCTCCCTTCCTGTCGGGGATGCTTGCTCTACCCTCTGAGGTTTTCCAATAGTCTTAATTTAGATCCATGGAGGAATCAAGGAGAGGAATTTTTTTTTTTTTAAGAATGTGCTTAAAGCCTAACATCTTTTAATAAGGGTATCACAACATTTTGCTAAATCAACCAAGTCTTAAGCAGAAAGACAAAAAGTGCTAATTTAATCAAGAGGCTTGAGGAGCTGTCCCACTACCGTGGGTGTCAGCCCTGTACCCGCTGTCTACACGCCCAGCCACACGGCACGCAAGGGCCTCACAGGAGGCTCATGAGGGCCGTGTTCCTGGAAAAGACAAAGACTAGCCTTTCCCAGGAGGAGATTGGGGGCTCTTATTAAACAACTTGAAAATAATATATCCAAAATTATAACATCTTTGCACATGAAATTTTAAGAATACATATACAAAGTATTTATGCAATAGATATTTTAACAGCATAAAATATTTGAAAAATTAGGTATATTTTAAAAATTACAACACTTTAAAAGTAATTTTACACTAACCATGGAACAACCCAGACTATCTGGACACTTAAAGACAATATTGTTGCTTTCTCTGATCAGTTTGAGTGTAATGTACATTGTAATCCAACACTGGGTATTTTCCTGCTTTAGAAATTGCAACTACAATATATAAAGGTTTTTAAAATACTATATATTTTCAATTTGCATCCTTACGGAGAATTTTCTATCATCTGACAGTAAAGTTACAGTGACACATTCTGATTCCCAGAATGATGAAGGAATTTTACCCTATTAATAACTTTTTTCCATTCAGTTTCTATTCTTCATTCAAGCTGGGAAGTATTTTTAACATTTGTTTTTCTTGAACAGGCACAGTAAGCTTTTTGGTGGTAGTGGTGCCATGGATTGAGGCCCGGGTGCTGTGCTTCTGGGCTCTACAGACATGAAACTATACACCCGCCCTGGCTGTTGTCAGAAGATCTCACTACGTAGCCCCAGGCTGGCCTGGATTTCAACAGGTTCCTGCCTCTACCTCCTAAATTGCTGGGATTATACGTGTGTGCCACCATATCCAGCAACATAAATACTTCCTATTACTGACCCTTCCATATATTTAAAAGGTAGCTATCTGTAATAACCCTTACATTTTTATCACATATTATTATTCTGGCTTTTAAGTTTGATCTTTCAGATTTTTTTTCACTTTTGGAAAACGGCTACAGCTCCACTGCTGTGGCTAGATATGAAGATCTGTAGAGGAAAACACACACCACCATTAGCCTGTTTCCTGCCACACAACACGTATGGCATCAATGCCAACACCACCTATCCCACTCGTCTCAAGTCAAGCACTCTTAATTTTGTAAGCTATCGGGTTGTCACTGGGCATGAAGTGTGCTGGAGCAGCACTGTATCGTGCACACTCCTTAGAAGTCATCTAGCCTAACCCTGGCCATGCGTACAAGTCTCCCTTTTGGCACCAAGTGTATGGTGAGAACGTGAAGTAAGTAACTCTGTTGAGATTTGACTTCCTACTTTCTTAGGCATTTCTCCCACTTACACATGTTCAGAAGGTTTGCTAAACGAGTAAGTACATGAGTGACCACATTAATATGTATTCACATGCTCAGTGATCAGCCAATAGACAGCACTTAAGAAAAGGCCCTTGATAGCTTGACTATAGGTTTCCATCTTAGTCCTTGGGTGAACAAATACTGTAAATGAGCCAAGAAATAATTACCAAAAGCTCTTCAGTATAAAAAGAGAACTAGCTGGGCACTGGTGGTTCATACCTATAATCCTAATTACTTGGGAGACTAAAATAGGAAGATTATGGTTCAAGGCCCAGCTGGGCAAAAAGTTTTCAAAGACCCCTTCTCAACGCATGGATGGGCACAGTGGCACATACCTCTCATCCCCAGCTACACAGGCTGAGATCAGGAGGATCACTAGTGCCGGGCCAACGAGGGCAGAAAAGCTGAGAAACGTCGTGTCCATGGAGGGGAGGCTGAGACGGTTTATGTCTGCAACCCCAATGAAGACAAGAAGCCTAGAGTAGGCGAATCACAGTTCAGACACACACCCAGGAGGAAAGCAAGTCCCTTTTCTAAAAATAACTCGTAAAAAATGGGTTGAACAAAAACACCAGGATTGGTTACCTGACAGTGGAGGATGGAATCAAGGGAAAGGGGCAGACGAACAGAGAAGAGGGCAGATGCAGATACAAAATTAAATGCATTTCTACAACATTAAGAAGAATGAGGGAGCCGGGTGCTGGTGGCTCACGCCTGTAATCCTAGCTACTCAGGAGGCTGAGATCTGAGGATCGCGGTTCAAAGCCAGCCCGGGCAAGAAAGACCGTGAGACTCCTATCTCCAATAAACCACCAGAAAACCGGAAGTGGCGCTGTAGCTCAAGTGGTAGAGCGCTCGCCTTGAGCTGAAGAGCTGAGGGACAGCGCCCAGGCCCAGAGTTCAAGCCCCACAACCGACCAAAAAAAAAAAAAAAAAAAAAAAAGAAGAATGAGGGAAAGGGCCAGGGAGAATGTTGAAAGGGGTGACACTGATCAAGATGCACTGTATTCATAAACTGCTTTTTTCAATGGCAACTCCTTTATACAATTGCTTAAAACTTAAAAAAAAAAACCAGGGCTGGAGGCATGTTTCAGCCTAGCAACTATGCCCCCTAAGTTCAAACCTGAACTGCCAAGGAAAAGTCGAAGGCAAGAAGCAACTTTAGAAACACCTCATTATGGGGCCTACATTTTAAATTAGCTAGAAGTACTTC